GGTGCTGGGGGATTGAACCGCGGTCCCTGATGCTTTTGCTAAGCTTGTTCTAAGTAGGTGCTTTAGACCACTGAGCCATCTCTCCAGCCCATCTCATGTAAAGTTTCTGTGTGTGATTTAGTTCACTTAACATTGTAGTCTCAAAATATAACCATTTTCCTACAAATGATTCAAGTTTATACTTCATTGTGGTAACGTGATACTTTGCTGTGAACAAATACTATATTTTATCCATTCATCTGTCGTTTTGTTTGCTACATGTATTCTCTTTTTTTTTGCCATAATTTTATTGATAAACAAATAGCAATGAGACAGTTTCAAATCAAATCGGTAGAATACATGTATTCTCTTAAACTGAAGGATTGCTCAATGAATTTTAAGTACATTAAATCATTAATTTTAAATGTGTTTTAAAATATATGTATCTATCAATTTAGTACCACCCACATCAAGATACTGTGTAAGATCCTAGTTTCTGCCTAAAGGAAATGTTACTGTCCAATTCTGTGACCTAATGAGTTCCTGTTACCTCTAAACTGCTTTAGCCTTTGTTTTATACAAATGTATCTTGGATGGAGAGTGATTTTTTTTTTCCTCAGTTTGGAATTTTTTTTCCTCTGGTACCGGAGATCAAACTCAGGACCTTGCACTCTCCAGACAGACACTTACACTGCTAAGGTGTCTCCCTGACACCTCAGTTTGGATTTTATTAATTGGGAACTTCACTGGTTTATGAGCACAATTCACTTCTCTTTGCCAATATCCCTTATGCAAATTTTAACACCTTCTTGATATTTTTCTTTTATTATTTTTTCTTGGTTTTTCACTTGTTTTCAATTCCACAGACTTGGAATATATATAATCTATTTTTGTCTACAACTCAATGACAAATTGATTTATATGAATTAATATTTGGTGCAGTAATTACTGATTTTTCCAGCTCAGTATTTTAAGCATATCCATCACTCTCCAACAAGTGGCTTGGAAATTTTCTCTTTGCATTGTCAGTATTAACATTATGAACTTGTTAGTTTTTTGAAAGGAAATAAAACTGTA